ACCACATCAGCAAAGAGATGTAACTGTTAGTTCATATCCAAGAGTGATAGCGATAGTAGAATTATTAGCAGTAATGGAGAAGATTAGGGAGCAAAGATATGATTCGAAAAGTAAAATTCAGTGAGATAAAGTAAGAAAGAGAAATATAGAGATGAGGAATTCAGAAGGTTAGAATTAAAAAGCACACAAAGTGTGGATGCACCTGCGCAAACGATTCTGAGTCATGTCGTTCAAGGTCTATAACCATTGGTGACTTTGGTCTCGCAGACACCAACCAGGTAGCCTACATCTAGCAATATGACTCAGTCCACTTGTCAGTGACTTCATGGATTGCTGCCATGGTTTAGTTTGGCCGCCCCTAACTTTCTTTCACAGAACCTCACGATCCACTGAGTCAAATGCCGCCTTTAGGTCCAGTAAGACAACTATTGTAGGACGCCTAAATGTGTGTCTGTGTCCCACGACCTGTCGTAGTGCGAAAATGTGGTCTATACACCCACGTCCAGGTCGAAAACCAGACTGGTTTTCTCGAGTCTGCTCTTCACGAGCTTTCATTAAGCGTCGAAGTATTACTGAGGCCAATATTTTAGACACTATATTAGTTAGACTTATTCCCTTGTGATTGTCACAAGAAGACTTTTGTCCTTTCTTATAGATTGGGACAATCAGTGATTGAGACCAGTCGGATGGGATTACGTCCAGTTCCCAGATTCTAACTAAGATATCAGTCAATCTAGCTGCTAAAACTGGACCACCATCCTTAAATATCTCAGGGCTCAGTCTATCAGGACATGCAGCTCGCCCTCGCTTCAGATTTCCTAATGCTTTCTCAACTTCATTAAGACTAGGGGCACTTACGTCGACTTGCCATTCAGGATGACTGGAGATCGTGGGTAACCGAAGAGTGGCTCGAGGCCAGTTGAACTGATCCCTAAAGTGATCTGCCCATCGATCCAGTCTCCTGCATTGAGAATGGATAATAATCCCATCCTTTTCCGAGATAGTCTCACTCACATTCGGGTTCCTATTACCAGTTTCCGTGATAAGTCGTTACAGCTGGCTGTTGTTGCTTATCGCCTCTGCCTTTTCCATCGCGTTTGCTTTCGCCACCCACCACCATTCACGGTCATTACGTAGGCTTTTTATCAGCCTGCGCTTAAGCTGACTTCGTTCTTCATCATGCTTAGAGCCAGGTGGGATGAGTTTTCGAGCATCCATCAGTTCGGTGGATGCTATTGAGATCCACAGCTTCATTCTAGCCTTATGGTTCACCTTACTAGCAGATATCACTGCTGTTTCCACAGCCTTTTTATATCATTACAACCTGCCTCAGGGTGGGCATCACTTACTACATGGCTGCCTAAATGTTTTACTAGTTGTTCCTGAAATATTTTCTTAGCTTTGTTATCATTAAGTACAGCCCTAACAGGTTTACTTGCGGTGTCTTTCCTACGACCAGTAGGCCTCAAACAAATACGCGCTCGCACTAGGGCATGATCTGAATCTAAAGGTGTGCTTCAGAACGAGCGACGGTCCTCTATCGAACACCTCCATCGGTGGCTGATGGTGATATGATCTAGTTGGGTCCAACGTTGTGACGACTTTGGAGGTCGCCAGGTCAGCAGATGCTTTTCCTTATGCCTAAAGTTAGTGTTTGCTAGAAATAGGTGGTTATCTGAGCATACGTGCAACAGACGGTCACCATTGTCTGTTCTCTGAGCCGCGACACCATAACATCCACCAAGGTGTCTTTCATTTTCACTGAGGCTACTTACGTGAGCATTAAAGTCACCAGCTATTATTACTACATCGGAGCGCCTAGCATTTTGGAGCAGGTTCAAAAGCTTTCTGTAAAACTCATGTTTTACCTCATCTGAACTGCAGTCAGTGGTGGCGTAGGCAGATATGACGAGGAGGCAACGACGGGTGTCCCTATCTTTCCAACTATCTACAGAAATCCAGTCTAGGAGAGCTAGTTCTGCCCTACGACTCAATATTATACCTACACCAGCGAGACCCCGTGAGGCAGCATTAGGGCTACCTGATACACGAAGAGTAAATCGGGATGCTTCTTTATTTTGATAAGGTGAAATCAAATTAATGATTTTATTTGGATCCTGTATGCGCGTTTCTGAGACGCAGCATACATTGATTGAGCGAGACTCTAAATTGCTAGCTAAGGGAGCCTGTTGCCCTATTTGACACAATGTCCGTACATTAAATGCTCCAAAATGTAGTTGAGAACGGGGTTTAAGGAGACCAGAAATGACGTTTCATGAACTCGCATCGTTCGCAACAGCGGCGCAGTGAGCTGAAGTAATGTGACAAGAGTTATTTGTAGAGATAACAGAGATATTAGTGGGGGAGTAAGAAGGATTTTATTTTGACCAATTTGGTCTTGTGTGCTGTTACGGGTGGGAGGGCAGATGTCACTTCCTGGCTGCCCACACCGTGGAAGGTTGTTTCTTGCGGGACCTGAAAAGGAAGATAGATTAGAGTTGGTCTTGGAAACCTGTGTGCGTGACTGCACGGCCTCCGCTCTTAAAAGCCCTTAGTAGGCTGCCTTACCGACGGAGACGGAAATCCGTGAGGTAAGGTGAGGTGTGACATTTTTAGGGTCGACCTTTTCTCACCCTTCCTTCCTTGTCAGAAGGCAGCATCACTGCAGATGCTGGTTGTCCGAGGGAAACACCTTATTGTTGTCACACCCCTCTGCAGTCAGCAGTACGACTTCGCCCTCAGACCTTGTGTAGCTGCCTTTAGTCTCATCGTTCTCCAATCGACCTGCGTGGCATAGTAGAACTTTCAGGAACATATGTTCCAGCCAATATAGCTCGGTTGGGTCATCACGATAGGCAAGCCCGACCACCATGTCAAGGTAGCAGCCATGGTCGGGATATATACGATAAAGTACTATTTACCTCACAGGCTGTCGAAATAATAATAAGCATTAGATATGGAATATGTGTATAATTCGGGAATAATATTTCAATGTAGATGATCAGATTCATTGAAGAATTTATTCAATCGTACAGAAGAATCACAATCTACTACCTAAATTTAATCGGTTGCACAAGATGGATAGTGTGAATAATGCTCCAGTTTCCCTTTGGTTCAAAAATATATTTAATTTCCTTCTATCCAAGAACTTTAAAAAGAAAGATTTATTATGGTGTTAAATAACATTACGTAGATGAAAGTTCGAAAGATATTCTAAATCGCACATACAGTTATTTTCTGTGTACTTTAAAAATATCGATAAAACAAACTAATATTGATATACATCTTAGTATGCATAAAAATATGTGCACTTCTGAGTCTGCTCTAAAAAAAGTCTGGACACTAAAGGTTTGAGTCAGCTGAACAAAATGCTTAATGTCAATCAGGCTGAGAACCACTGTAACAAGCTAATAGGCATCGCAGAAAAAGTTAGTAACCGTCGATACTGACCACTATTAATTGCCAGTTCGACTGAATAGTAATAAAAATTTGCCTGATTTAATTCACCAACAAAAAATTTGAAATGAACACTGTTTATTAGGATTAATAATCTCCAATAACATTCAGTGATCAATAGGAAACCATGGAAATAAATGCATTAGATGCATGATATGTATTATTTTGCCCCAGCTTCGTCTTAATTTGGTACGAATTTAGCGAAGTTCAACGGTAAAGGAATACCAGAAAAGTGAAAAACTAACACACACTCTACAACTCCTAAAAGAATTACCTCTATGAGGCGATTTTAGCCACTCCTTTGTTTAAATCTAAACAACAGACTACCGTGTTTGGTGTGAGGAACACACCGCGTATAATGAAAAATGGTCATGCAATATCTTGCATTGATTAAGGTTGTATTTGTTCAATACTAAACCCTAGAATAGTGGTCTGGAGGCTAGGTGTTTGCATGCAAGACTGAAGGTCCTACGTTCGATTTCTGGCTGCCGGGAAATGGACAAGAATTATTTGAATGTCTCATACTAAGATGAAGCGTCTATCCAGTGCTTCTAGGTGTTAAATGGTTTATGAACCCAAATAGGTTCATGGTTTCATTGAAAGACTACTGAACGTTAGATTACAGATTTAGGTGTAACGTAGTAAAATCTGTTTATTTATAACTTAATAGATAATTAAATATGACACAGCTACTGGACTGAATGTACACTTACCTAAGAAAGTTGAACAACAAAAATTACACTATGCAGTACTAGCTAGTACATATTACCTGTCAAATGTAAAGCAGGATAATTACAATTGATGAAGTATGTGTAAATTCATGACCTAGGGTGCGATTTCTGATTATCTTGTATAAAGACTGAGATGTTAACTATGGTGAACTAATTAGTTAGTAGGTGGTTTCCTTAAAACATCAAATTAAAAAGTTGACGAACAATAAAAATCAAATTACTTTGTTTCACTAGCCTGGTTTATTCTTCAAAATAGAAGAACCATTTGAATGATAAAAAAAGAGCTCTATAATGATACAAATTAATAATAAGGAATAGCAAAACAATATGTTTAAAACAGGAAGTTATCAAATAGACATTATATGAATTATTACAAAAATCAAAGTAGAAAATAGTAACCTGAAAGGGGAAAACCAAACCCATTCTTTACAAACTTGAATTGATGTATCTAATGTAGAACTCATAATTGTTAAATATCAAAACAGAATATCAAAATGGTAGACAAGTTGATTACTTCTTTGATTTTAGTTTAAAATTAAGTGGATTGTATGAAATAATATGTTCATTTTGAAAAATCCTCTAAACCATTGTATAATAACGAAACTACATTATAGAACTTTTAGGCTAGCTGATGGTTATGCGAAAGATAACTAGTAGCAAATTTAATACAAAATTGAAGAACAAGATTAAGGAACATGATATAATTATTCTTTAGAATGTTAATATCTGCATACATGTCAAATAATTATATTAATAGACTTAACTCTGTCTAATTCTATAAACGAAAGAGCAACAATTTAATTATATATATATATATATATATATATATATATATAGCTGGTAGATAGGGTTACCGGGATTCGGTGTACATGAAGCCACACGGGTTACCTGGAAAGCAGTATATGATACTCTTTTCAAAAATTAAAAACATATTTTCTGAGATTGAATTCATGGTCTGCCAGACGATTTCCCACGAGATAAACCAAACGATGGTATTGTCGGCTTTCGAATGGTGGTAGTGGTTCCAGAAATACCAGATGGTAAATTGATTTTAGAAGGCAGTGATACTTGATTACGCTGTACAGTTGATAATTTGGGAAAGGATTTTGTAGAATTAGATGACTGATTTGCTTTGATATTGTTAGACGAAATACTACTACCACTACTATGAACGCTGTTATTAGAGGACAGATTATTTTTGTGTGGAGGTTGAATTTTGTTAGTTGAACGATCAAAATTAGAGCCTTGTTCAGGTTCATTTGCACTATTTTTACGAGAACTAAGACGACTAGTTACGCTCACGGAAGGCATTTTTTGAGATGGCACTGGAAGACGAGAAACACTTCTATTAGAAAGAGGAATCGATGTCTTTGAAGGAAGTTTTAAACTTGATTGTTTGTACGGTGCTATTTTGTTGTTTTTAACTGGTTCGGTAATTGCACAAGTTGCTGGAGGACTTTGTAGATTTTTAACATCTGACAGAGAGGGTATAGGGTTTCCTAGACTCGGCTCAGTTTGTGATAAATCTGCATCGGGTTTTTTATATTCGTCATGATCCATAATTAACGCAGTGTCTGACTTGTTTTCTACCACAGTAGCATAACCGTTTAATTCAAGAGTATTAAGCTCGTATTCCTTTTCCTCAGGTTTAATCATTTCACTATTTGGATGAGATATGTGTGCCACGATGCTACTTTGCTGTGTGGTACAATCATCTACTATATTCACAGTACTATCTATATTATCTATAACGGGTCGCAGATTTTTCAGTTCATCTACTTGCGATTTTGATGAATCCCAGTCATAGACACGCTTAAAGTCTGGAGCATCGTATGTAGAATTTAACGGTTTAGAGAAGGGAGTAACAACATCGGTCTGATCCAAATTCATACTCGAATGCATATCCGTAGTGATATTGACTTCAGGTTCGCAATCTACTGAACTCGATAGTGCTTTGAAATACTCCTTCGCTAAAATAGTATGTTGACGTTCTGGCCTATTATTTATCTCTTCGATCACAATTTCTTCATGACTATGTGTTGCGCTAACTTCACAAGAACTTAAACCGCTGCCTGACTTTTGCCCAATACTACCAGCGGCACTACTTTTATGTTTACAAGGTTTCTCATCTCCAAAACTCGATTCGGTAAGTGAAGTGTTGGAACAATCCAATTTACTTCTACTACCACTGTGTTCACGTAAGTGAGTTTCCTGGAGACGAGCTAATTCAAATACATCTGAGCTCCGCATACTGGAGTAAGATGCATTGAATTTCTCAGATAGTTTGCGACCTTTTATAACTAATTCAGTTGCAGAAAGGGATTGAGATAACTGGTTAACTCCTGATAAGATATCTAAACTTTTAGTGACATCTATATCACAATCATTATCTGACATTGGCAAAGAAGCGGCCAATGCATGAGATCTAGAAAGTAAGGAAGGTGCCTTAAGTACTGACTCGTTGAGAGGGCAGTCATTCGTCTCTTTCAGTAAGTCCATTTGCTCCTTTGAATATGTCCGTGAAAGAATTGAGTTTTTCTGACCGCTAGCCTTTTGATCTGGGCTACTAGCAGCTCCTGGAACGAGTAAAAAGTCGTTAGGCTTTGAGGAAATCCTGCGGTTACCAATATTAGGTGAAATATTGTTATTTGGAGTTGCATGGGGAGGTTGTTGGGACTTGTGTAATTGAGGTAGTCCTGAATACACAGCTTGGGAGAATTGTGGTTTGTGTTTTTCAGAATACTTAGTATTGTCAACTTCGTGAGTTCTAGCATCGAAGACTTCACGTAAAGGCAACTTTTGGTTGTTATTTTGTTTACGCAAAGCATATGTACCATACAAATTAGAGTATTCTCCAACTGAGCTATTTAAACTGCGGCGGAGATCTAACTGTGGATCAATATTCTGTAGATCACGACTCGGATGCAGCATAAAATTTTGAAAATCCATAGAACCATTCACAGACAGTGTTGAATGGTATATTTGACAATCACTATCATTGAATCCTGTATCGGTAAGCGAGTGTTTCTTCAATGAGACTTCTTCAATTAACCCTTTGATTTTCGCCAACTCGTTTAATCGGTTTAATAGATGATAAGAATTATTACAGAATTCTGGATCTCGATCAAATGGTGTGCGATACCATATTTTGCAGTTAGCTTCAACATCTAAAATAGCACCTTCATCTATGTTTCCGTTTGAGTCTACTTCAATCGGATTACGTGATGGGTCTATCCACCAGTTACCTCCACCACCTAATCCCATATTAGCTTCTAGAGTATCCAAAGTTTCTTTATTTAAGACAACAGGTAAAAGAAGCTCAAATGCATCATCGTGATTATCTACTGATAGATCGTCTCCAGTAACTGATATTGATGGTGTGTTGATCGAAGATAAAACAATCTTAGTTTCTTCAGAAAAAGCGAGATTCGACTGCATTGACGTTCTAAAATGATTGAATAAATAAATACGAAGTAAATCAGTCGCACGAAGCAATCATACAGTCTGTTTGCTATTTCCAATGTGGAATAAATGTATTACGTTACTACAGTAGTGGATTGGAATGAAAATAGGATGAAAAACCAAGGAGTCGGAAGAAATTTTATATCAATGACGAAAAATGTAACTAGACATAAAGTATGGTTGGAAGCAGAGATTAAATGGTATGCACTGCCAGAACTTTTTTAAGTTGCTCTACCTTATCAGCACAGCGAGATGACATTTTCAGGGGAAATCACAGAGTGACAATAATATCAATGGAAATGGAAAAGATCAGGTATCAAATATACAATTCGAGGAAATATAAATTGGTAAAACAAAAACGTTTACAGATAATTTAGAAACTTACGATATCATGGAAGAAAAAGAGTGAATGCACATGCACTAGTGTGAATGATTTATGAGCATGTTACCCAAAATTTCTAACCACTGGTTACAAAAATCGCGTGGACCTCAGCCAAATAGTCTGCATCTATCTACATGACTCAGTCCGATATTCAGTGTCGTTATTGGACCGATGTTGTCTCGACTTGACGACCCATAGCATACCTTAGACCTACACATACACCAGCCACCATTATTTCTTACAGGTAGTCGGTGGATAGCCATGAGTAATACATATTAGAGCTGCTTCAGTCAGTAGAAATTCAGTCTCTTTGACTGACTTGCCATGCGTACCTTGTACAGTGGATCTAAACCTCGGAATCGCCAACTCGATGGTTCCGAAATAAAGATACCTACGTTTGAATACGAATGACCTGCGAATATGCTATATTTTTAAGGTGGAGTGAACTGCTGTATAGTTAACTTGTCTTTTGGTTGGAAGGCAGATACTTTTCCTATTCCACAAGTGATGCGAATTAGTGAGAACCGATCGAGTGTTCTGGAATTGTGGCGAGATTTCTTTAGACACTAACTCACTAGGATTGATGAGATTTCAAAGACAATTGAAATGACCGACACGTTCAACTACCTTACTCCCTATTATTAGTCCAAGCGCGGACGCACACCAGCTCTGAAGTAACCTTTGGAATTCAGAGAAAAAATCGCACCAAAATACCTACGGATTGGTTTTGAAGGTGAAGGATTTGTTTGTGACCGATTCGGTCTAGCGTCCTATTACGGGTATGTGGGCAGATGCCACTTCCCGGCTGCCCACACCGTGGAAGGGTTTTTCTTGAGGAACCTAAAAAGGAAGTTAGATTAGTGTTGGTCTTAGAGACCTGAGAACGTGACCAGAGCTCAAGCAACGACTTTTTATGAGATTTTTGATGCGTGAGCTCCGCTCTTGTCTAAAAGCCCGTGCCGCCGGAGATCCGTGAGGTAGGGTGAAGTGTGACATTTTTAGGGTCGGCCTTTCGAACCCCTTCCTTTATCTATGAGAAGGCAGAATCGCTGCAGATGCCGGTTGTCCGAGAGAAACACCTTACTGTCGTCACACCAATTTACAGTCAGCAGTACGGCTTCGCCCTCAGACGTTGAATAGCTGCTTTTGGTCCTACTGTTCTCCAATCGACTTACCTGGCATAGTAGAACCTACAGGAACATATGCTCCAGCCAATATAGCTCGGTCTGGTCATCACAATAGGGAAGCCCGACCACCACGTCAAGGTAGCAGCTACGGTCGGGTGTTGAAGGTGATCAAAGGATCATATTATGTTCGGGTGTTCACCAAAACAAAACTAGGTGACCTGTATATATAGCGAGTCAAAAAGTGAATTATCTGGTTAGACAACAATCTCTGGAAAGTTAGGTAACGTGAATTTTATCTCTGAAGTAATATCCATTCTAAAGTTAGATAAAAATGGGAAAAACAAACAAAACAGATGAATTCCACTTGATGTTATCAGTTACAATTACAGATTTTCACAATTTCTGACTCGACAAGTAGTATTTGAGTAGAGAGCCTGTACACAATTAATGTACTTTATAGATACGTCTTTCAATAGCAGATAGTGTCATAAAATCTTTCTATTTACAGAGTCGCATTCTGTCTAAAGGTCGAGGGTTATAACTATGGTTGAGTCTCCGAGTACTTCTGTGCTCCAAAACCCATACCAAATTCTGAGAACGACTGGCTTCCCTGGGGCTTATTTAAACGTTGGATGATTATTGAGGATAGCATTTTAGACACTACGTTATTTAAGCTGATTATTCAGTAAATGTCACAAAATGATTTTCATCCTTTCGCATAAACTGGAAGGATCAGTGATCGAAATCACTCAGATGAAATTACGTTCGATTTCCTGATTCCAGCTGATATCCCAGTTAGTCTGACAGTTTAAACCACTAACCTTGAGCATCTCAACAGTTAAATTATCACAACCGGTTGCTCATCTTCGCTTTAGACTAGATGTAGCATTTTCTACTTCGTCACGAGTTGAGAGGTTTTTACTGACTGCTCAGTAAAATTAGGAGACTCAAAGGTGGCTAAATTGTGGTTGAACTGCTCTTTAGATTATTTTTACAATCGTTTCAGTATTCTGGTTTGAGAGTGAATCATAGTACTATCCTTTTCGGAGATAATCTCACTAACTCATGAATCTTCAATACCCGTTTATTTGCTCAGAATCACTGCGCAAACCTATTGCCAAACTACATTTAAATAGCCTTTGCTCCTTATTGTGTGCGGAGCATCAAGTTCAGTAACAGTTCAGTAGACACTGTTGAAATCCACTGACTTCGTAACTTTCGGGTTATGGTCACTAGTGGAGACCGATGGCAATTTACGTTGGCTATATATCATGCTAACCTATTTTGGGGTGCACGTCACTTTGACAACTAGCTGCTTCTATAATTGTCAATGAAATACACTCCAGACTTTTTATAGTTCCAATGGACTCTGAAGGATTTATTTCCTGTGGCTTTTTTACATCCAGTAAGGCGTAGACAAATATGTGCTTAAACTAGAGCGTGATGCGTGTCTAAACATGTGCTCCAGAATCTTCTATCGAATCTCTCCGTCCATGATAAGTGGTGATGTGGTCTGTTTGCGTCCATAGTCAAGTCGATTGTAGGAGTCGCCATGTTAGTCGATAAATAACGATAAATAACGCTAAATAACTTTCTAAGCATACTTACAGCACTCAGTCTTCGCTGTTCGTTAGTTGAACTGAACTATTGTAAGGCTCACCTAAGTGTCTACGTAAGCGTTGAAATCTCCAGTTATGATTACGACGTTCGAGTGTTTAGTATTTTGTAGAAGTGCAGACGGCTTTCTGTAAGACTTATATTTTACTTTATTTGAACCATAATTAGTAAGAGAATAGATAGGATGAAGAAACAGTGGCATACGTTTCTATCTTCACTTGTTCTTACTTCTTCATTCGGTTGGACAGAAGACGAACAACTGTTTATGGAATTCAGTCTAAGAGATCCGGTCCCGCTTTGAACTTAGTGCTACGCTTTCGATAGTGAGATTAAGACAAAAGTTAAATCTTTAGATACACGAAGGGTAAATTATGATGGTCTTATAAATTGACGAGCTGAGGTCAAGTGAATGACTAAACATATATCCTGTTTGTATTTTTTGTAGACACAACATACATCAATGGCATGGGATCCTAAAGAAGTCTGTTTGCCTATTTGACATAAGGTCAGAACATCGGCAGATCCAATATGTAGTCTGAAGCACAGTTTTAGAACGCCAAGAATAACATTGTCACCTCGAATAGCTAGCGTTGGTAGCGCACGGAGATACGGTTGTGAGAAGAGGGTTTATTTTGAGGATAGAAAGAATACTAAGAGGCGATGAAGGGAACTGATATCAGTCAGCCAGTTATAAGAATGAACTTCGTATGTAAGTTCATGTTGCCATACCACAGTAGCACAGAGACGCTATTGTCACTTCAAATCCCATAGTGGTAAAGATAGTAAAAGCATTACCGGTAACGTAGAAGATCTGAGTTCGAAGATATTATTCAAGAAGTAAAACTCAGTGAAATAAACTTAAGAAGAGAGAGATAGAGGCGGTGAGGAATTAAGAAGATTAGAATTTCAGACAACACAAGAAGTGGATGCATCTGCGCCATTCCAAACGATTTTGATCAATGTCATTCAAGGTTTAGCATTGTTGGATGTGTAAGAGTGGTCGAAAATTCCAGGGAAGGAAGCCGGATAGGTAGCGGTCGTAAAAAACATAAAAAACCAACGGATGTTCCAATTTATACTGCTAATTAACTGATGAAATATTTGGATTTCAACAGACTAGTGCTTCCTAAGCTTTAACGTCTGATTATGAAAGTTTTATCTCATCAGTCACAATAACAAACACCTTTATCAAATATATATATCTTAAAAGAAATACCAATATCTGATGTACAACATGAGTGAATAATTTCCAGTGTTGAACACTGACAATGTCTGAAGCAATCATTTATTAGAATGCGTGAGTTTATTCTAGTCATTCAGGATATTTTAATGATTTATCGACTAAGTGACCACTGTTTTTCTTTTTAATTTTTCTACATAGCTAATTAACTTTCATAAGCAGTTTTAACTTTTGGCATAAGTATTTTCCTATTGACACCCATGTTAATGACCGACTCGTAAATCTTAAGTATCAGAATATGCATAATTCTTTAGCCACATTATTCAGTGTCAATATGACTTACGTCGATACCTGAAACGGTCAATGCTTGAAGTACATCGGCTTCACCTTTAGCGACTCATATCACTTACTACAAGCCTCATTTAACAGACGCTGAAAATGCAACGCCTAAATGCTTTAGTGATTTCGTATGAAATTCTCATGATCAACAAACTGATTATATCAATAAATGTATTACTCAAGGACCTATATTTAGACGTTCTTCGAGAGGTCCATTGAAGTCAATTACGGGCATTGAACAAGTGACATAAAAACCTTGAATTGTACTCTTTTGGTTGTAAATAAGTTCGGGTGTGGATAAAAGCAAATGAAAGCTGAGAATTTTTGTGGGAGTTTTCAATAAAACCTACAGGCACACATACAGTCGATGTACATCAGAAACACACTGATTCTCAAAGTTCAATATTAGGAAATAAATATCCAAACGTTTAAAAATTTTCAAAGAGGAAGCTGAAAAACAGCATTAATAATATTAGGAAATATACTGCCTCGTAAACTTGTCCATAAAACCATACACAATTTATATATACCTCCACCTTAATTGGTACGAATACGCAACCAACATGTACACAATTAAAAAATAAATTTTCATAAATAAATCCGTGTCCAAAAAATCACTTCACCTTATATGAAAGCGAAGATCAACCAATGGCTCTAAAATGATAAAATTTCGACGACTAACCTTGAGATATCAAATACAGCGGCACATTTCAGGCGATGTTTCTTTCGCGTACAATATTCAGACGTTTGTAGCTTGGTCAAATGGTTTACATGGCCCAAAAACGTTATAAATTGAATAACAGAGGCCTAGACTTAGACAGGTTATGAAAACAAAAGTGAAAAAACTGTAAAATACAGTCAATCAACGACATAGGATTTTAAGGTATTGTCGAGTTTCCTTTCAAATAATTACCAAAAGTAGCTCAGAAAACTAAGACTGGACGAAAATTCTTGGATTTGATCGCCTTACGAGGGTAATAGGTTCGTTCACAGTCATTTCGGTTACGACCTGAGTCTAGTTTCTGTCTAGTAAGCAAAAGTTTGGTATGGACTGAGTAAACATATATAATATTTAAGACGAGTAGTCCATTTTATAAATTTTGATAGAACAGTGAGAAGACGTAATTGATCTGAAAAATTTTATGAGTTTGCGCTATATATTTCGAACAACCTAGTCACACATATTTACTTGTCAAGGCATTTTATTTTATTTTACTTAATGATAATCAAACCAAGAAAATATTTCAGGAGCAACTAGAAAGACAGTTAGGCGACCATTTAAGCGATTCCCATCCGGAAGAGGATGGAATGATATCAAAAATGCTGTGGAAACAGCAGTGATATCTGCTAGTAAGGTTGACCATAAGGCTAGAATGAAACCGTGGATCTCAGTAGCATCCACCGAACTGATGGATGCTCGAAAACGCATCCCACCTGACTCTGAGCATGATGAAGAGCCTAGTCAGCTTAGGCGCAGACTTATAAAAAGTCTGCGTAACGACCGCGAGCAGTGGTGGGTGGCGAAAGCAAAAGCGATGGAAAAGGCAGCGGCGATAGGCAACACTAGACAACTTTTCCGCCTTGTTAAAGAAACTGGTGTTAGGAATCATAGTGTAAGTGAGACTATCTCGGAAAAGGATGGTCTTATTATCCATTCTCAATCCAGGAGACTGGATCGATGGGCAGAACACTTTAGAGATCAGTTCAACTGGCCACGAGTCACTCTTCGGTTACCCACGATCTCCAGTCATCCTGAATGGCAAATCGACGTAAGTGCCCCTAGTCTTAATGAAGTTGAGAAAGCGTTAGGAAATCTGAAACGAGGACGAGCTACAGGTCCTGATAGACTGACCCCTGAGATATTCAGGGATGGTGGTCCAGTTTTAGCAGCTAGATTGACTGATATCTTAGGTAAAATCTGGGAACTGGACGTAATCCCATCCGACTGGTCTCAATCCTTGATTGTCCCAATCTATAAGAAAGGACACAAGTCTTCTTGTGACAATCACAGGGGAATAAGTCTAACTAATATAGTATCTAAAATATTGGCCTCAGTAATACTTCGACGCTTAACGAAAGCTCGTGAAGAGCAGACTCGAGAAAACCAGTCTGGTTTTCGACCTGAACGTGGCTGTATAGACCACGTCTTCACACTCAGACAGGTCCTGGAACATAGACACACATTTAGGCGTCCTACAATAGTTGTTTTCCTAGACCTTAAGGCGGCATTTGACTCTGTTGATCGTAAGGTTCTGTGGCAGTGTCTGTCATTGAAAGGTGTACCACAGAAGTACATTAACCTTATACAAGCTCTTTACTCGAACACCACTGGTCGGGTGAGGGCTTATGGCGAACTGTCACCGGAATTCTCTACTTCAAGTGGTGTCCGTCAGGGATGTCCACTTTCTCCATTCTTGTTTAATTTTATCAAAAACATGCTCCTAGAGTTAACATTATCCTCGTCTGAAGTTTCTGGAGTAGACCTTCTACCAGGTGGCTCGCTTATTGACTTAGAATATGCCGATGACATAGTCCTACTTGGTGAAGACGCTGACAAAATGCAGAGTCTTCTGACTACCCTAAGCAACAATGCAAGCATGTTCGGGATGTGGTTTTCCCCCTCGAAATGCAAAATGTTGCTTCAAGACTGGGTTTCATCGGCACCTGAACTAGTGATATGGAGTGAAGTAGTCGAGGGTGTAGACCGCTCCATTTATCTGAAGAGTCTCATCAGTGCCGATGGCCTGGTGACAGACGAAATCTCAGCTCGGATACAGAAGGCTCGATTGTCTTTTGCCAACCTGCGTCACTTATGGCGTAGGCGAGATATCCGTTTGCTGACTAAAGGACGAGTGTACTGCGCAGTAGTTCGCTCCGTCTTACTTTATGGCTGTGAAACATGGCCAGTGAGAGTAGAAGATATTCGTAGGTTACTGGTTTTCGATCATGTGTCTTCGAAGCATTGCTCGTATATCGTGGGACACCCGAGTGAGCAACGCTGTTATTAGGAATCGGGTGCTAGGTAAGAATGGCAGATCAATCGATGAAGTATTGAAACTTCACCAGTTGAGGTGGTTGGGACATGTTTTGCGTATGCCCAACCACCGGCTGCCTCGTCGAGCCTTGTTTTGTAGTGTGGGAATAGGTTGGAAGAAAGCTAGGGGCGGCCAAACCAAAGCATGGCAGAAATCCATGAAGTCATTGACTAGTGGACTGAGTCATGTCGGTAATTGTCGACTACCTGGTTGGGGTCCGCGAGATGATAATAATCGATGGTTAGAGACCTTGAATGACATGGCTCAGAATCGTTCGCAATGGCGCCGGTGCATTTATTCTCTATGTTCTCTCAAATGCTAGTCTTCTGGATTCTTCAACCCCTCTAGTTTTGACTTTCTAAACTTTTCTCACTGAATCATACTTCTTGAATAGTATCTTCTAATCCTAACCTCTCCGAGTATTTCTAATTCCCTTACTACCTCTTCTACTATTGGATTTGAATTGACGATTACTCCTCTGTGCTGATGTGGTATGGCAACATGAACTGATGTACTTATGTACAAAGTTCTACGTTGCATCTGACTGACTGACTGAAACCCTGATTTAACTTGGCTTTCTCGCGATTAGTAGCGTAATTTCGTTAAAGGGGTGAACTAGAGGACACGCAATATAATCAAAATGCCCTAACGGCATACAAAATTATAGCACGAACCAGCCCAAGAGACAACTAAATGGTTGCCTCCACGTCACGTACGATCGTACACCTCGATGCTAGTCTCTCACAGGCTCAAGGAGACCGTGGTCGCTGTAGTCACAGCCGTCTCACTTTTAGAGACCGTTCTTTTGTCCTGGAACCTCACGTGCCCGATCATGATCACGAACGGCTGCCAGTACTCGCCCCAAGCAGGCATCTCCCAAGCCACGAGTAGCCAGGAGCGAGGATCGGTTTTCGCTGTCTCCGCCAAACTTTCAGGTCCAGTTCCTGCAACTTTCCAGGTCCCCTTCTCATACAGTGCGGGAAACTTCAGAGAAGGCGGGTAAATGCGACCATAATCGCAGGCCCATCACCCCAGGGTGGCCGTTTATTTTACATGCACGATATCCGCATCTCCGTTCGAACATTGTGGGAGGCCGCAAGACTATTTCAAGTTGACTCAGATATGAGAACATACAACCTTGAGGTTCTCGGCATCAGTGAAACGCACTGGACACAGGTAGGACAGCTGAGACTCACTTAAGGGGAACTGCTGTTATACTCTGGTCATGAAGAGGAAAATGCTTCACATACACAAGGAGTTGCACCGATGCAGTCCAAACAGACACAAAAGGCACTGATAGGATGGGAATCTCATGGACCCAGGATCATCAGAGCAGCCTTCTAAACAAAGAAAGAGGACATTACAATGAATGTCATCCTATGCTATGCATCTACCAGTTGTAGTGAAAGAGAACACAGGTGGGGCAACCGAATTGTATTTAACGAAAATTACAGAGTTACTCAGTAAAATCGGAACACCATATCGTAAATCGTTCATTTGCAAAATAACAGTTCATCATATCGAACTGGACTGTTCCTGTTGCAAAACATCAATCCATTGTCACCATTCATGCGTTTCATACAAATTCCATTGTTTTCTGACTCTTTCTTTCTTGATCTTCCCCCCATCTTCGGCTGCCAGACATTACGTTGACGCTCACGTCATATACTACTTATAAGTAGCTCACACCACACAATGACTACAATGACGACGTTAAAGATCAATTCTACGAAAGACTGCAGTCAATCGTCGAGAAATGCTAACCAAGGATTCGTCGGTTCTTATGGGAGACCTGAATGCAAAAGTTGGCTTGGACAACACTGGATATGAAAACATCATGGGATGACATGAACTGGTAAAAGAAACGAAAACGGTGAGAAATTTGAAAACCTATGTGCCTTCAACAAACTGGTCATCAGTGGCAAAGTATTTCCACACAAACGCATACACAAAGCTACATGGATTTCACCGGACCACACTACTCAGAACCAAATCGACCATATCTGTATCAATAAAAAGTTCAGAAAGACGATGAGGGATGTGAGAAACATGAGAGGAGCTGAGATAGCCTCATATCATCACTTTCTAGTCGTCCAAATAAAACTTAAACTCAAGAAAAACTGGATGACGGGACAGACAACATCACACAAGTTTAATATAGCCTTTTTTCGGAATACCGTAAAACTCAACGGATTCAAGATGACCCTTCTCAATAGGTTCCAGGCCTTGCACGATGTAAGATTTAATTTATCCTACAGATGTAATTCTAAATTAGTAAACGCAATACTGGCGAGCAAAGAGTCTACAGGAAAGCTATAGTAACAAAATGATCAACTTGGTTAAAAGTTTATCTGATTCTAAACAAAATAAACGATAGTACAATATATAAGGAAATTACAATTATCAGGTAAGACGAGCAAACGCAAGGACCAGTATAGCGTGTCATTAGAAAATGAATAAAAACATGAGTCACATCAATATAAAATAAAATAATAACATCCTTCAATGAATAGGTCATTTACGACAAAGAAAGTTCACAGACCGGTCAGACTAGATAGCGTGGAGAGCGCCTAAACCAATCTGATCGGTTAGTTATGGCATGACTGCAGTTAGTTATGGAAATAACTAACACTCCCCCC